GGGAAGGAAAGAGGGAGGGAAGAAGGAAGGAAGAAGGGAGGGAGGGAAAGAGGAAGGGGGAGGAATGAAAAACAAGAAAGGAAAGAGGGAGGGAAGAAGGAGGGAAGGAAGGAAGGAAGGAAGAAGGGAGGGAGGGAAAGAGGACAGGGGAGGGAGGAAAGAAAGAAGGAAATTCCAAGAGAATGGAAATACTCAGGAAATTTGAGAGGTCCTTCTAACCAATCTCATCCAAAGCCATTTTCAGATGGGGAAAGATTAAATTATTTGGACTACAGGCCTTTCCAGATGCTGCTGCGCTTGCTGTAGTATCAGCCATATCAGGAATCCGGTTATTATAGATCTAAACTTGCTTAAGCGAATAAATAAAAATGCCTTATTTTTTCATCATTTTACTTTTTTTTTTCTTGTGGAATTGAATTGTGAATGCTTCTCGCTAAGTTCAGTTTGCATTTTTCCAGATTCTTTGCCATGTCCTCAGCTAACCATCAGCAGGGATGTATTAAAAAATTAACCCTTTTGTTTCGAGCCTTATTTCAAAAGAAAGAACGGGATGCTATTTCCCCCCCGCCCTGCCCTGTTCATTGCTCTTTCGTGGGAAAATACTGCAGGCTGAAACTTGGCCACAGGATTACATGGGAGCAGATATGCCAGAAGTCTAAATATATTCCTTTCGATTATATAAATAAGTTATATGTTGCCCCCTTCCCCAGCAAACGACTCACCACATGTACCCTTTGATTCATGGGTGAACATCCTTTGCCAAAGTTCATACCAGACTTTTTGGAGGAAAAAGAAACCCTTTCCAGCAGCCTCGTCCTGCACAGTGGGAGGAAAAATTTGTGCAGAGGGAAAGAGAGATGTCAGAAAGAGAGGTTAAAAAGGGAAGACCAGACAGAAAGGAGGTGGGTTTTTCTGTTTAATCCCACCCACTTTGCACAGGTTCTTCCTGCTGGAATATAGGTAGTCTTCAACTAATCTTCAATGAGTTATTTAGCAACCAAATTTACAATGGCACAAAGGTGACTTGTAACCGGTCCTCAAACTTATGACCATTGCAGAATCATGTGATCAGAATTCAGGCACTTAGCAGCTGTCAAGTACCAGAAGGCTGCTAACACATCACCCCGAGCCCTGTTAGATTAGACATATTTTGTTCCCTCAATCATTCATCATGTGGTTTAGCCTCCAGATCCCTCATCATTTTTATTCCTCTTCTCTGCACTTTCATACCTGTTTGAAAATTCAGAGGACAATGGGATAGGGATCAGTGGTGGGATTCAAAAAAATTTAGTACCAGTTCTGTGGGCATGACTTGGTGGGCGTAGCAAGGGAAGGATACTGTAAAATCTCCATTCCCTCCCCACCCCACTAGCTCCGTTCTCTTTCCAGCTCCGTTCTCCTGTGCAGGGCAACCAAAGAAGACCCAGCCAATCATCTGGGACTCAATGGGAGGCAGAGAATAGATGGGGCGGGGCCAGAGGTGGTATTTGCTGGTTCTCCAAATTACTCAAAATTTCCACTACTGGTTCTCCAGAACTTGTCAGAACCTGCTGAATACCATCTCTGATGGGGATATGATGCACTGCAGTATCAATAGCAATAGCACTTAGATTTATATACTGCTTCACAGTGCTTTAGAGCCCTCTCTAAGCGGTTAACGGAGTCAGCCGATTGACCCCAACAATCTGGGTCCTCATTTTACCGACCTCAGAAGGATGGGGTCAACCTTGAGCCGATCAGAATCAAACTCCTGGCAATGGACAGAGTTAGCCTGCAAAACTACATTCTAACCACAGCACCACCACGGCTCTTACAATGCATTGCTCTTGCAATGCAATGCAATGCAATGCAATGCAATGCAGTGGCTGATTTAGGTAACAGAAACAATCCACACAGCAACATCTATTGCAGACCTGAGTTGCAATTCTTCATCTTCCATTCTCCACCAATGCCATGCCCAAATTTCCTAGTTTAAAACCTGAGTGGAAAGTATGAGGACTTCCTGAGTATGCCCTTCCCAACCACAAACCAAAGTGATTTTTTCCCCATAAAACTTCTCCATCCACTCCTGCATCTGTATTATAAGGCTGGGATATCAGGGCTAGTGTATGAGTTCTGCTTCAGGCAAAGCCTTTTTCATCCCATATCAGAGGACGGCGGAGCCCTCAGCGTTCCCTAGCTGGCTTAACCCACTGGACAGACTGCCAGTGAACTCCCGGGCTCCACATAATTCAGAATCAATAATAAAGTCAAATCAAGTGGGGCCGTCAAAACATCGGCATGTGTTGGGATGTTAGCCAAGGGCTGAAATAGTTGAGGTCAGGCTAAGCCTCCTACTTCACTCCAACAACAATTGTGTATTCTGGAGAGTTGGGAAGGTCAGCTATCTCAATTGCTTCACCCTCTGTATTAAAAGGGTATTAAAAGGATCTTCTGGTTGTGTCATTGTTTCTGAGTGGCGAAATGCTCCAAGTTGTTCTTTCTCATTTACAAGTTATGTTG